GCGTGTTGTTGGACGGGTAGTTTTCTCGGTAGTTGGGCGTGTTGTTGGACGGGTAGTTTTCTCAGTAGTTGAGCGTGTTGTTGGACGGGTAGTTTGCTTTGTACTTGGGCGTGTTGTTGGTTTTTCAGTGGGTGGTTTAATCGTTGGCAATGGTATAGTTTTACATTGACCATATTTAGCCAAATAATCATCAATACGTATACAGGTATGTACAACCAAATCATCATCAAAATATTCACCATCTGGACAATTCCAGATAGCTAATCGTACAAAACCTTCTTTATAACAACGATAAAAACTTCTACAATCATATGGATTACGTATATAACGTGAAGAATCTGGATTTTCTGGACAATGAATATATTCACGATAATCGATTGTTGTCATTAAATCATTTCCATCATCATTATTGCTAGCAACCACAGCAAATGCTGATGAAGCGACAATGATGGATAATAATAATGGGAAAAATTTCATAATTTTTTCCCGAAAAAATCAAATGGAAAAAATCTTTTACAAAAAATTTTAAAATTAGCAAAGAAAACTTGTAATAAAATCTTTGTTTTTTAAAAAATTGATCCATATTTATATGATAATTAATCAATTAATCAGTAATTAAATCAATGAAAATTTAATTTTTTTCTCATGTAATCACTCAAGTATTATTGAAAAGAATAAAAATGATGATCATCAGTTTTTAATCAGTTTTGATTAGACATAATCGACAAAGGGGGTCGTGTGATTTGGTCAAACCCCCCAAAAAATCAATCAATCAATTGTTTGATTAAATTTACAATGAAAATGACATTTCCATATATCTCTGATTCACCAGATGGTTTTTTTTCCTTTTGTCAATCGCAATTTCATTGTTCCAACATTCTATTCTCTCATCAATCAAAAATTTACAAAAAATGAAAACTTTTCTTCCAAAAAATCAAATTAGAGAAAAAAAGACACACTTGAAAATATAAATAAATCAAGTGAGAATCACCATAGGCAACGACAAATTTCTCTTGAAAAAAAAAATATTAAAGGATTCAATTTCAAGATCATCATCATTATCGCACAATGTTTTTGTCCGTTTGTACAACGTTTACATTTGGTTCAATTTTTTTTAAAAAATTAAATGCGTACATTTATTGTTTGTTTGAACCTAACCAAGAATCCTATCAGTTAAATAGTTAGATAGATAAAACTAAACCAAAACAAACTGAAATAGATCCAGGTAATTAGTTTCTGCATTTTGAAATTCATTCACCTTCATTGTTTGTTTATCGGTTTATCTAATTAACTAAAACAAACAAACCTGGATAAAAATAGCCAATTATCTATTTATTATTCGGCTATATAAACACAAATGGCTATTTGATTCTTTACCTTGATTCATTCATTCAATGATGGTCATTTTCATTTTGAATTCCATTCAGTTTGGGTCGTCGTCGTTCTTGTTTGTCATCGCTTCATTCGATTCATTGATGATGTTACCACAATCAATAATGATGATGACCATGATGATGATAATCCTGATGATGGATCAATATTCATGTCAGCATCCTCTAGGTGTTGTTGAATTGGATCAATATACATTCGATTTGGTATTTGATTTGATTGATTTCCATTTTTTGTTTCTGATTTTCAAAAAACTTTGATTTCTGTTTTGATTTTCCAACACTAGATTGCATCACGTTTCCGTTATGTTTTAACAAAATTTGATCATCTTTATTCATATGGACCGAATCAAAATGTTTTCAATCAATTAGCATTGGATACAATGAAGATGCTTCAAGCGAATCAAGATGGTCAAGATATTTTATTCGTAAATCTTGAGATAAAAGATTTTGATGATAAACAATGTTTTGAATTAGCTGAAAGATATTCCATCGGGAAAGATCAATTTCCAGCAATCCGGTTATTCATCAATCAAAATCCAAATTCGGATTGGAAGAAGAGGGAAAATATCGAACACTTTAAATCAATCAAACCAATTCGTTATCCTATACAACGACGACAACAACAAAAAATCCTAATAGATTCAACAAGATTACGTTTATTTTTGAAAAAATTCACTCAAATTCAATTACCATTATCAAATTGTACGGAATATTTGGATCAATTTGCTAGAGAATTTATTCAAACATTCGATTCGAATGATACGTCTTATTTGAATGAACAACAAAACAAAATTATCGTACAAATGGAATCCATATTGAACGGACTAAGTGACCAAGATAAACGAAAACAAACCATGGAATATTTAAAATGGATGAAATATGGACAAAAATTCAAAACTTTAAATGTTTACGAACAACAACATAAACGTTTAACATCAATATTATGGAATGATGATAATAAAATTGATGATCAAAAACGTCAACAATTACAATTACGTTTTAATATTTTACAAAGTTTTCGTTTATCAAATGATTATGATGATGATGATGATGCTACAATCGATACAATCGATATAATCGATAGTAATAGTAGATTTAAAGCAGAATTTTAACAAAAAAAAAATCGATCGATTAGAAATTAAATTGAAATAAATTTTTATTGCTTTTTCGTTTTTTGATTTAATCGTTTTTAGTTGGTCGATTTTGTTTTTTTTTCACTGGAAAACACCAGAAAACATTACGGAAAAAAATTGTTTACGAATGTTGGCTATTTTCTAACCCAATAAATGTTTTGGTCGGCAATTTGACGATTGATTTTTCATTTGACCAACAAAAACCCGTTTTTCAGTTTTGCTGAAACTGAAACTGGACAAAAAAAACGATTATTTTTCTTTCCTTCATACGGTATTTCCTTGATTATTGGTCTGGAATTTTCGTTGTTTTTCAGTTTTTTTTTGTTCCTGGCTGGAATTCATTGGTTTCGATTTTTTTTTCAACTTTTAAAACAAAAAAAATTATCAGAATTTTTTTGAAAAAATTCCAGAATCGAATGAGAAAAAGGCAGAATTTTCGCTGCTTTTCACGCGCTATTTCGATCCAGTTGGTTCTGAAAAAAAAAATTTCAAGAAAAAAATCAATTTTTTTTCTGAAAAATTCCATCGTGTCCATTATCATCATCATATGGCTTTTAATTTAGTTGTCTTGACCAATGAATGTTCTGAATGTCCCAGAATATTCTTCTGGACAACAGAACAAAACAGAATCGAGAATGTTTATGTTTTCAATTTTCATAAGCTCATTTTAAATTCATTCATTGTCATTGTTGTTGTTGTCGTTGTTGACTTTATCGGTTTGGTTTCGTTTTAAAAAGTTGAATAGAAAAAAAATTGAATTTAATCAAATGAAAGTTTGATTCTTTTTGGTTCCTCGATTCTTTTGGATTCTATTTTTATTAGATAAATAAAGAGAAGAATAAAAGGTTTCCAATGAATTTTTTTTCATTCTGACTTTTGGATTCAAAGAAGAAATCCAATTTTCTAAATGAACTCCCGTTGGTTCGTTTTTTTTCGTTTTTCAATTTCAGTGAAAATGATGCAAAATGAAATTCATAAGATTCGGCCATTCACCAACCCAAAACGACAACGAAATTGTCAACCAAACAAAGAATATCCAAAAATGAAATTCAATTCACTTTTTTTAAAAAAAAAACGAAAAACGAAAAAGAATCAAGAATGAATTACACGCCGATGATACAATTGGCAAATTTTCATTGAAATGTCAGCATCAGTGGAAATAGAAAATTTCCAAATCCACACAATATGTATTCGGTTATATTACGGTTATGGATTCTCTCTCTCTTCGTCACCACCATCGATGTTTAATAATATTAATATCAAACATCGCAAATGTGTCGAGAATGTTCATACATTGATTTTTTCAATATTTATTTCGTTTCATTTTTGGATTCGCTTTTTTTTTACTTGTGATCCTCAATAATAATGTGAGTTTCAATCGATAGCAAAAAAGTTTTTTTTCTTGTTTTTTCTCACACTATTTTTTAGGGGTAGGTGAAAAGTTTCCGGGAAATTTTTTTTTCGTAGTCGAGGAATGTTTCCGATTCACAAGCAATGATTATACCAGAAAAAGAGCAAAACTTGATGTTTGTTTTGTGATAAAATCCAAAATCATAATAATTGTATGGTTTGTCTTTTTCCGAATTGTATGTGATTGTTTTAAAGAAATTTTTCAGAAAGAAAATATATCAAATAAAACGCCCATTTTCTTGAAGAAAATTTTCTTCAACATTATAATCATCATCATCATCATTGACTTTATCAACAACAAACAATATCAAATCACACACTAGGCCAAACACCATGGAGTTTTGGTTGAACTTTTTTTTGTTTGTTTTGGTCGAAACGCAAACAAACGAAAAAATTCCGGGTACTCATCGCATTGAATTACCGTTTTTTTTTTAACGTAACAGAAAAAAACTAATTGATTTTGATGATGAAGAAAGATTCCTGACTGATTCATTGGATACAAGAATTTCAATGGAAATTACCGGTATCATTACATTGCATAACAAAATTTTTTTTTATCTTAATGATGATGGCCATGATTATGTAATGTAATTGGCTTTATCTTCAAAGGAAATTGAATCACCATCATTACTATTTCTACATTTTTTTTCTTTTCTTGTTTTCCCGGGAAATTTCTCTTTCAATTTCTTTTTTGTCTATTTTCATCCATCCATCCATTCAGTGAGAGACAAAAAAAATTGATTTTTTGATTGTCTATCTTTTGTTGATAGATAGAAAAATGGCTGACTAGCTGAAGATAGAGAGAAAGAGAGAGAGACAGAGTTTCAGAGAGTGAAGAAAAAGTGCCAAAAATATCGATCCAGAAAAAACAAAAACTGATGGTGATGCAGCACACACACACACACCATATAAACAAAATTTATTGTTGTTGTTAGTTGTGAAACAAAAGAATTTTATGGGATTCTTTCCCCACTATCTATCTCTCTCTCCCTCTCTCTTCCCAACAACTCTTTTGCACAGAAAAGATGTTTATTACATTACATACATAACCCAAATGAGAATTCTCAACAAACAAAACTGATTCTAAATAAAATTTTTGTTTTCTCGAAATAAAGTGTGTGCTGTGATATCCGTGTGTGCACCAAAAGGAGATTCGTGTGTGTGTGTGTGTTTTATCATCATAATGATAATGGCATTTGATAATAATAATGAATACGCGTACAACAAACAAATTATGAAAAATTTTTCTTTCCTGCTTTTTTTTGAAAATAAGTTTTTCAAGTTCTGAATGTGTATGTTGGTTGTTTATTCGTTCAACTCTTTCGATCTGGTTGTTATTTTTTTTACAGGGGGAAGAAGGGTGCAATGAATTACAAAGTTTTTTTCGTTTTGATTGTTATTCATCATCATTATCATTATCGTTTTTATGGAGAATACTTTTCAAAACAAAAGAAAAGTTTCCTGGAAACATAAATTGATTTGAATTATTATTCTGAATCGATTCTTACGATTCTTAGAGCGATTTTGAAAATCAGAATTTCTTTTTTTGGGAGAAAAAATAATTGTAAACCTGAGAACTGCCGAAAAAAGGGTCAACAAATTCGTTTTGTTCAACAAAAAATCTCATATTTCGAAAAGTTTTCGGAAAAAAAGATTCCCAAATCTTGTTCCAAGTCGAATTTTTTTTATCATTTTTCAAACTTTATTTCATTTTTTATTGCCTTTTTCAAAAACGAAAAACGAAGAAAAAGAAGAAGCTAATCATATGATAAGGATGGATTTGGATGGCAAGAGAGAGAGAGAGAGAGAGAGAGAGAGAGAGAGAGATAAGTTAATCAAACAAAGTTTATTTTTTATTTCATTTTATTGTCCCTATTTTTTATTCGATTTTCAGTTGTCATCATTCGTGTTTGGATTGCCATTTCTCCCATTTTTCTATATTGACCGATCAGTCAATTACGCGTAACTTGAAAATTTTCTCCAACAAAAGTTGACATGTTTGAATAGCGAAAGAAAAAGAATTACAATTTGATTAACTGAACAACAACAACAATTTTTTAAGTGTTTTTTTATTTATTTCGGCTGTTTGTTTGTTTGTTTGAAATCATTCAAAATGACAAAATTCGGTAAGTGTGTTAAAAGTAAACAAACAAACAAAATTCTATATCTTTTTTTGAATTTGAATTTGATTTGTGCAAAAAAAAAGTTTATTTTTCCTAGAAATTTTATTTCCGGAAAACTTTTCTTCCCAATTGGTTTTTTTTTCTCATTGACCGGATGACCTTACTTATTTCTACTGTTTTGATTGATCGAAAACAAAGATCGATGAAGTTTTTTTCACTTGCTGATTTCCTTGTTAACCAAGTTTTTTATCGTTTTTTTCCAAAAAAGAAATCCAGATTCAGATGAAACAACAACAACAACAAAAAAATCGAATGACATGATAATAATGAGCGATAGATATCGATTCATCATCAATTGCATCTGTATCATCATCAAAACGATGAAAACCACCACCAACAACACAACATGGCATCAAAAATGTGAAAAAAAAGTTAAACAAAAAGAACAGAATCAAGGAAAGAAAATTGATCTATTTTTTCCTGATTGCTTGGTTAGTTTAGTTGTTTTTTTTGATGTGATTGATCGATCTGATCAGGATCAGGATCGTATCGAATGATTATGATGAAATCGAAGATCAATATCAAACGCACTGAAAAAAAACAAAACATGAAAATTACGCCCACGCACATACACACATATGGAAACAAAAAAACTAAGAAGATTCTTGTTGTTGTTGTCGACGTTTTTGTTGTTGTTGTTGAATCAAATCTACAACAACAACAACAACAACAATGATAATAATTTCTTTTTTTCTTCAAAATATATTTTAAATCCATTACAAATTCAAGTTTTAATAATAATAATAATCGAAACGGAAATTCAACAACAACAACAAATTCTTATCACAAAAACAAACAAACAAAAACTGAATGGAATACTTTTTTGAAAATCATATATGATGCATACGGATGGTTGATTGAAGTGAATAAAGTGGAATATTCTGTTTATTGTTTTTGTTGTTGATTCTTTGTTTTTGCTTTTTGCTTTTTTTTGCTTTGAATGACCCAAAATTATTGAATTGAGCAACAACAAATCGATTGAATCCAAAATGAAATTGATTTCACTCATCCCCCCTCACTCCTTCCAAAGAGAAAAACATTCATTCCGGTTAGCTTATTAAGAAGAAACTTCTTTTGTTTTTGTTGCTTTTTCCTATTTGTTTTTGTTTTTGAATATATAGTATCAGTAACAGTTGAAATAGCCACTTATGGAACATTGAACAATTCAACCAACCATCATCATCATCATCATCATATCTTAAAATGTTAAACAGAGAAAAACAACAACAACAACAACATCAATGATGATGATGATCGTCGACAGGAAAAAGAAATCGATATATTTCACTTTCTAATCGCAAAACAAAATCTAAATATTCAACATTTATACACAATAGTCAAAATAGAAGCATACACAAGCCGAACAAGGTTAAAATAGTTGAATTCTAATGTCTAATGGAATCCACCGTTTGCATCCATCTTTTCCTTTTATGTTTGCTGTGATTTTTTCCCCTATTTTCAAGATTTTCGAGTTTTTTTGGTGTTGATAAATTGAAAATCCAATCTTCCATTATATGCCAACGACTGACAATGTTTTGAATTGAATTGAACCGAAAAAAAGAATCTTTTCCGAATATAAAAAAAACTTGTCAGTAACAACCAAAAAAAAAATCGACATGACCGATAACAACAATGAAATGAAAACTTGAAAATGTTCAATTCTTGTCGACAATCGACACACGCCAAACATTTTCAAAAAATTTTATTCAAAAAATATTTTCCTGATCATTTCAAGTCGATAAGTAAGTTTTTTTTCCGCTAAGTTGAATGTTTGATTTGAATGCAATCTCATTCAACCAACCAACCAACCAGGCAGCAATGACAATGGTGAAAATTGATATTTTTTTTTTAATTTTCTAAAATCCAACTGTATTTAGAATCTGATCATAAACGTAACGTAAGAATCGAACCTTTTTAAAGAATCGAAAAAAATTCTTGTTGTTGCTGTTGTGTGGTTGATCCAAAGATTCTGATAAAAATTCTTTTTTATTTATAGATTTTCAAAAAAGATTCATTTTTTTATTACAATTTTTCAAATGTTTTTACATAACATTTATTATATACATTGTTATTGTACAAACAATGAGGGTGTGTGTGGGTGTGACAGATTGCGATGGTGGGAGGAGGCAGGGGGAAAGGAATGTGAAAATTATTTTTAAAAAATTAAAGAAAAATTTCGGAATTTTTTTGTTTGTTTGTTATTTTCCAAAAAGTTTTTGTGTTGTGGGTGGTGGGTTGAGGGCGTGATGGATGGGGAGTGGAAGCACTTTTTTTATCTTTTTCAACAACAAAAATAATGTTAATGTTGTTTTTTTCTCGACACTCGTTCCTTTTTGTTGTTGTTGTTGTTGATGATTCGATTGAATGGAGAATTCAAGAATCGAAAGAATCGTGTTCATTGTTCCGTATGCATGGATATTGAGAAAAAAGAACAAACAAAACAAAGATGATCTAATGGATGTTCGACACACAAACACTCTCAAACGAGATTGATGCGTAAACGTAAACGATATAATGGTTATCTGATTTCGAATAATTTTTTTTCCATTGAATTTCATCCATTCGATGATCATGTTGAACACGTTCGACTTTTTTTTTATTTCGAAAAATTTTTCGAAATTTTATTTCTGGAAAGATTCTTTTTCTCCCACACACAATTATTTCATCGATGTTTGTTGTTGTTGAATAAGTAAAAGATTTGTACCGGAACCAGTTATTGTTGGTAAATTCTGATCATTATTATTCATCAATGATGTATGTCCAGAATAATATTGTTGATGCGGATTATGTAATTCATTTGCCGTAATCATTAATGATTTCATTTCGATTAATTCTTCATCTGAAATTATTCCGGTTGTCGCTGATTGCGTTTGCGGTAATGATGATGATGATGATGATTGTGCTGTATTAGCGATTTGAGCTAAATCATATAATGCATATGATTGATGATTATGATTTGTACCGGCTGTTGTCGATGTTGTTCCAGTTGTTGATGATGAATCTTGTGAATGTGGTAATGTTAACATTAATTCACCATAATCACCTTGTTGTTGTTGTTGTTGTGGATGATAATTCGTCAAACTAAATGGCGATATTGATTTTGGCAATTGATGATGATCGGAAAAAATCTGAATATTATTCTGTAGACCACCATAACCATTAACACCATTCAATGTTGATGTTGTTGATAATGTTGTTGACATTGTTTCATGATCATTATTATTATTATTATTATTAATTTGATGACTATAATATAAATGTTGTTGTTGTTGTAGATTTGATAATTGCTGTTGTTGTTGTTGTTGTAGATGATCATGTTGTTGTTGATTATTATAATGATGATGATAATCATAAATTGATTGACAATCAATTGGTGATTTTATTAATGGTGATGGTGTATGATTATCATCATCATCATTATTAATCTGATTATCATTATTATCCATTATTGTTCGAAGTTTTGTAGTAGATGTTGTCAATAGAATTGGCATCATACTATCATTACCTAAATTACCATTATTACCATTATCATCTTGATGATGATTATTATTTAAAAATTTATGACGTTTTGATCTTCTCATTCTTGTTCTTCTTCTGTTTATCAATCGGATTATAGATTTCGGTTTTGAAATCAAAAACAATATCGTTATAATCAATAAAATCAGACCAAATATTAATGATAATGTTTTCAACAAATTTTGTCGTTCACCAAAACGTATTGAATAATAAAATGTTTGAAAAAATTTATTCATTCGTCCATCATTTTTATCATTATCTATGTTACTATCGATACTATCGATTATTCGATTATTATTATTATTATTATTATTTGTTGTTGTTGTAGAACGATGTTTAAGAATCGAATCATCATCATCATTATCATTATAAGGTGATATACGTTGTTTATTGATAATTTGATTATCACCATCATTATTGCCATTATTATCAATATTATCATCAACATTACCATTATCATTATTATCATCCGAATCATTCGATGATTTTAATGATAATTTAATTAAAAGTTCAGCATGTATAACATGTGTATCTAATAAACCGGTAATATCATTAAAATGTAGCTGTTGTTGACGCTGTTGTAATGATGATGATGATGATGGTATCGATTGTATCGATGATGATGATGATGATGATGATAAGGGAATTTCAAAATAACCTAAATCACTAACCGATATTTTCAATAATAAATCAACATAATCCGGGAAACCGATTAAATCTTTTAAATGTAATAAATTTTTTGATGAAAAACCACTATTACCACCATATTGTTGATAAAAACGATTCCATAATGATTGACGATAATAATCAAATTCTTGTTGTATGGTTTGACGAAAATATTTTGGTGAAAATGTTTCCGATAATTGTATACGCATCGAACCTAAACGTGATATAAAACATTGAAAATATTTATTCATATTTGTATAATGATGATGATGATTATAATGATGATAATTATGATTCGATGAACGATTTAACGATAATTTATCGATACTATCGATATTATTATTATTATCGGTTTCATTTTTAATAAACATCCAGAATAATGTTTCAATATTTGCTGTTGTTTGATTGGATGAAATATTCTTCTGTTCGGTTATTGCTGATAACGATAATGATGATGATGATGATAATGGCACTTGAATTGAAAATTTTAAAAGATTTAAATCTAAACGACAAACAAAACGATTTGTTTCAGGTAAATCTCTATCAATAATCGTCGTATTGAGCAATATACGTTGAGCATATAATTGATTAATACCATTCAAATGTTTTTGTTGATTCTGATGATAATAATGATGATGATGATGATGATGGTGATGGTGATTATGATCATCGATGTTACCATCAATTTTTTGATCATCTTCATTATCCTCGCCCATAAATGATAGATAAAAATGATTACGTAAAAATTGTGGTGGTTCATCATTATCATCGGTTATATTGATTTTAACATTTGTACATGATGATTGATTTATCATCGATTGTTGTTGTTGCACAATCGATTGTATCGATGGTGATTGTTGTTGTTGATGATGATCACCACCATTAATGGAACGATCAGTTGCACATATTTTAATTGTATATTGTGCAATTGATTCACGATCTAAACAACAAACAGCTGTTGATATTAGACCACTTAATTCATCAATATCAAAAATTAGATCACCATCTGAATTAACACGATTAACTTCGATTGAATAACGAAGGATTGAATCTGGATCCAAATCAATAGCCGTCAAACGTATTATATCAATACCGGCGGCAAGATTTTCTTTTACTTGTGCTCGGTATTCATTTTGTTCAAAATATGGTTGATTATCATTAATATCACGTACACGTATCAAAATTGTTATTGAACCATTAATTTTTTCCGAATGTTCATCTTCAGCTTGTATTTGTAAACGATATTGTTCACGACCATCAGGTGGATCACGATTTAATGGTGAAATTAAAAACAATTCACCAGTAAATGTATTGATTGCAAATTTACTTTTTTCCGGATGTTCATAATCAACACCATTGCCTTTTGTGAAAATAAAAAAAAAATTGAACAAAAAGTGAAGGACGATACAATCGATTTAATCGATTAATCGACTTACCACTTAGAATGAACATTAATCCACCACCACCACCATCGATATTTTGACCAGATTTTCTTTGATTAATCGTCGTCGATGTCGATATTGTACCATTTGAATCATTGATCATCAATGCTTTAACCTTGGATTTGAAACAAAAAAAAATTGAAACAAAAATGAAATTAATCACTTATCTTGGATACATTGTAGCCATGAAGTAGTTCGCGGGAAACTAACAAAAAAACAAAAAAAAACACTTCCTTCCGGGCAAAAATGAAAATATAGAGACTAGAAACTTTCCAAGCAAAGAAACGGAAACTTTAAATTTTTTTTGAAAAAATTTCCGAAGAAAAACTACTGCCACCATCATTCATTTTTCGAGAGAGTGTAATAGAGAGTGAGAAATTTTCCAAGAACAAAAAAATGAAAAATCTTTTCTCATTTTTTTATGGATTTCAAGACAAAAAAAAATGAACCACAACTTTTGTTACCGAAATGAAAAATTCCAACCAACCACCAGAATAACTACATAATTCATTCATTTTTTTTAAATGAAAAAAATTCACAAGAATTATCCTCTCATTTATATGACACAAGCAGAAAAAAAACTTTACAAAAACTTTCGAAAAACTTCTGGTTAACACAATACCATTGTGATGTATGATGATGACCTTTTTTTTCTCTCTCGCATAATCATCATCATTATTTGCCACCAAAACAAAACAAAAAGTTCAAAGTTTTGAACCGAAAATGTCAGTGTTTTTTATTTCTGGATTCAATGCAAAATTTCATCATTTTAAAAGTATTTTTGGTTTGTTGTTCAGAATATTTATGCTTGAATGGTTTATTTGTTTTGTTTTTTGGCAGCAGAATATTCTGTGTTTTATTTTGGTTTCAGAGATAAACGGTTGATTCTTTAAAAGAATTGACTTTTGCGGTGACGGATTCTTTTGATTTTTGTTTTTTTGGTTTAAATTCAGGAAATTCTTTTCGTTGAACAAAGTGAAAACAGAATTTTTGAAAAGAAAATTCCAAACTAAACAAAACAAAACAAAACAGAATTCAGGCACCTCGTTTGTTTTGATTTTTATTTTTTTCCATCGAGATTCTTTTGGCCGCAGGCTGTAACTGTGCGTGTGTGTGATTCTTTAAGAAACTTTTTTGGGGAAAGAAATCTTTCCCTTCACACAATGTCGATTCTCTTGATTCTTTCGTGGTAATCAATAATGTGAATAAACCGAACAACATCGATAAATGTTTTTTTTTCACAAAATCAAACAAAATTATGCTGCCGTTTGCTTTTTTTATTTATTTAAATTCCTATTCAAATAATATTTACATGTTTTTTTTATTCTTCTTTGTTCCCAGGGAAATTTCCCGATAAAGAATTTTTTTCCGATTCAAAACTGGAAAAAAATTCATAGCCGTTAGCCCAGTCAATGATGATGATTATTTACACAAAAATATGCCAGTGCCAAAAAAAAAATCAAACCAAAATTAAATAATTTCCAGCCAGCAGAAAAACTGAAAAACAATCAAACGAAAAATAGAAAATTCAAATAGACAAAATCAACATTTTAAATTTTTTTGTTGTTGTAAATGTTTGACATTTGTCATATTCTGCATACAACAAGTCGAGTTGATTAAATAAATAAAATAGAATGTTCTTTTTACAGCAAACAAACAAACAAACAAAAAACATTATTCAAAACTGAAAAGAGAATCATAATGATGGGCATCTCTCTCTCTCTTGATTCATTGGCCGATCACTTTATGGTCATCATCAAAAATGATGACCATTTTGTAGACCGATCGAAATGAAAATTGTTTAATTTAATTTCAAACATTTTTTGAATTGAATTGATCATTCTGCAGAATGATTTACTAACTGACTGACCAAACTGACTGAAAAAAACTCATTTTCAAACAAACAAACAAACATTTCGATTCGATTCATTTCATTTTGTCCGAAAATAAAAAACAATAAAAAAAGATTGATAAATTGTTAAAATGTTTTTTATATTCTCCATTTGTTTGTTTCATTTTCTTTGGTCTTTGATGATGATCATCAAAGATTTTTCTATTTTCTTTGATGATAATCGTTATCATCATCATCATCATCATCAAAACACGACAATCAAATGATGACAACCAAAGAAAAGAAAAGATGCTGCCGAAAAGCTGTTGTTGTTGCTGAAAAAAATTATTGACACTTGAAAACTGTTTTTCGTTTGTTTGCCGCTTGAATTCATTCATTTTCTTTCTTTAGATTCTTTTTTATTCTTTGAATTATATTCCATTCTCTTTGTGTAGTATTTTCGGAAACATTTCTCGAATCGACCATGATGATGATGATGATGATAATGATTCCATAGTGGTGGTGGTGGTCATACATCAAGGGGAGGTGTGTGCGTGTGTGATGTGTGGATGGCGATGATTTGCCATCGTTTATCAACCGAGATCCAAAACAATTTTTCTATTTCAACTAAGCTAGTTGATGATGATGATGATGATGATGTGAAAAAAAGAAATGGAAAAAAGTAACAGAAAAAAACGAAAAAATTCATTTGTCATGTTGTCACCACACACACACACAGACATACGGGCGACAGAATTTCGGAAATATTTCTTTCCACTCGGTTTCAGAAATAGTGCTTGGGTTTTTTTCTTCAAGAAAACCAAAGACGATGGAAAAAACACCCACCACCACCACCACCACCCTTATTATGATTTTATTCGGGACATGATTTTCTTTTTTCGTTCTGTGTAGATCAAAACAAATTGAAAATTTGTTTTTAGGAAGGGGAAAAATGAATTGAATCGACACACACACACACAGAATTGTCAAAGGAAACAAAAAATTGAATTCCAATTCTGGGTTCTTGACAACCAGAAGCAAAAACGAAAAACGAGAAACGAAAGAGTAATGGATATTTTATTGGAAAGATTTTCTTTTAAAAAATTCATTTCATTTCTTTGGAATGAAAAATAAATCAATTTGAATCAATTAATCGAATGATGAAGGGAGTTTTGTTTTTGTTTCTGGGAAATTTCCCGGGAATATTTTGAAAGAACTAAAAAATAGCACAAACCTGAAATAATTTTTTTGGTAAATCTTTTTCCTCTTCATTGATTATTACTTCATAGATTGGCTGTTGTTTAATTTGATGTTGTTGTTGCTCTGGTTGTATCGATGATGATGATGATGAATATTCATCACTTTCATCATCCGAATCTTCATCATCGTTATCGTTAATTACAGTTTTATTATTTTTCATTGATTTTAATGATGATGATTGGTCGTTGATTTTTGATTTAATCACAGTCGTTGATGATTGAAGCTAAATAGTTTGCGAGAGAATGAAAAAATGAGAAATTTTCCCGGAAGAAATTTTAAAAACACACATACCAATTTTGATGGAAATTTTCTTCGAAATTTTCTTTTCATAATCAAATGATGATTATTATTATTATTTGAAAAAATTTGATCATTTTGATATTGGTTGATATCGGATATTGTTGCCGCTGTCATTTTATCATCATTATCATTCGAAATTATCATCGATTCCGATGATGTTAATGGTAATGGTAATGATTTTGATTGAACAAATTTGATTTTATTATCATTTGAATTCTTCATCTCATTATCACTATAATTGTTATTATTATTACCACGGTTACTGTCATCATTATTATTATTATTACTATTGAAATGATAATTTATTTTTGATGAATAATTTGATATTTGTTGTTGTTCAACATCATTATAATCATCATTATCAATGATAATGTTTTGATGGTTGTTCCAATTGGATTGTATCCTGTCATCATTCCTTTTGACAGACAGAAAGAATTTATTTAATTTCGAATGTTTTCCCCAGAAAGTTTTCCCAGAATGATTTTTTTCCAGAAGTTTTTTTTTGAAAGTAAATATAGAAATATAAGAAATTGATTGACAATTTATTCAAATTGATTTTTTTTTTTGTTCACATACCATAATTTATTCAATGTTGTCGATGATGATGATTTGATTTTCTCTTGTTGTTGTTGATCATTGAAAGGCATCTGATAAAAATCACTTTGATTATTATTGAAAATATTTTCATTTGAAATATGTTTCGGGGCTATTGCTGTCGAAATGGTTGATAATTTGGATGATGAAGATAGCCATGAAATGGAAGGCTCTAAAGAAAATAGAAAAAAAATTTAGAAAAAATTTCCGTAAACATTTGCGAAAAAAATTCTTTTAGTTCTTTTTTTTGTGGAAAATTTCCAACTAAAATGTTCTGTCATCAATTAATGATGATGTTAATGATAATGGTGGTGATAAAACAACAATAATAAAAGATCATTCTTAACAAAATCAACGATAAGAATTCAAAACAAAACCAGGAAAAAAATGGCTGAAAATGAAAAGCCATTTTAATTATCAAAACCAAAGCAAAAATTTCTCTCTCTCTCTCTCTCTCTCTCTCTGTCTTCATAAAACATCATCCAGTAACATAAAACATTGTTTGAAACCAAAAAAAAACTTTCCGAAAACAAAAGTAAAGTTTTTTGTTTTTTGTTTTATTATCATTTCAGATGTTATTAACCAAGAGAGTGAGAGCAAGATTCAATGATAATGTTTTTTTGTTGTTTTTGTTTGCATCCAGAAATTCTTTTCTTTTTTTTCTGTAAAAATGATTAATCATGTAACCGTTGATTATAATGGCGATAATTTACAAAACAAAGAGGATGATAACACCTACACTGTTGTAGGAAAAAAGAAAAGAGTTGATGAAAATATACCGCAATTTTTTTTTGTTGAAATCTTTCCGGAAAGATTTCAACAAAAAAAAAAGTTTCCCAGTCTTTTTTCCGGTTAAAATTTGTGATAAAACGAAGAAAAAAAATTTAGAAATTCAATATTATCAATCAAGGTAATGTTGGCTATTAGATTACATAATATAATTATTATTCATTGGATTTTTTTTCTTCTGTTTTGATAAACTTTCCCGAAAACTTTTAATAAAGTTTTTTTACAATTTATCATTGGATTTCTTGGTCATTTTTTTCGGAGATTTATTTTGTTTTTATCGTCTGGAAAAATTGTTTTTTACAAGAAAAAAAACTATTTACAAAATTTAAAATAAAACAGAAATTGCTACTAATTGAAATTCAAGCAAAAAAAAAAAAAAGAAGGAATATTCCCAAGGATTATGATTTTCAGGAAAATTTTCTCTTTTTCTAATTAGCATTTTCACCTTTTTTTTCCATTTAAAGCTGATTAATTAATTTTTTTCTTCAACAAAAAAAAGTTACAGGTTTATTTTTGTAATAGAATTTCTGAATGAAAAATTCATTCACGTTCACAACAAGCAACAAGCGATCAAATACAAGTCACGACAATCGATTATTTCCTGAATGATCAACTATAGCCAACCAACCAACCAAATGTATCCTGTGTTTTTTTTCCGAATGATATGATTGAATATCATGATCATCAGCATTTTTACCAAACACGAAACCTAAACTGAATGAATGAATGATGATGATGATGATCCATTTTTCGTTCTAGAAATATTTCTAGGAAATTTTCCTTGTTGTTGTTTGGTACTGATGATGACATGTCATTTACTACAACTACTACAACTATCATTACCAAAAACAAAAACAAAACCAGAAAATGATTAATTACTAATTAATTTCATTACATCATCCATATTTAGTTATATGCAAGTGGGTGTTTTGTTTTGTTTTTTTGCTAAGAACTAAAACATCGGAATCTTTTTTTTTCTGGTCATCATTCATCATCATCATCATGAGATTCCGGTTTTTTCATTTTCTTTCGGCTAACCATATTTCATTTGATTATGATGATGATGACCTAAAAAAAGAAGAAAAAATCAAACACACAGAAATGTTTCCGAATTTTTTTTCTTGGAAAGTTTCCAGTAAAAAAAATGAGAAATTTTCTGAAAAGTTTTTCCAACAAACAAAATTGAAACAAAATGAAAAATTTTTTCTGAAACAAAAAAAAATGATAAATGATAATTTAAGATTTTATCTTGAAAATGAATTTATTTTTTCAAAAGAAAAAAAATGCAAATTTTCATTCATTCATTTGCAGTGCGGTGTGTGTGTGTGTTTAACCATTTGTTAACATCATCATTAATCGTTGATTCTGTTTTGTTTTTGTTTTCGGATTTTGCAAAACAAAAAAGGTATTTCAATAGAAGCGAAACAAAACAAAAAAAAATTCTGTTTATTCGGATTGTAATGACCGAATTCTGAATTGAACATTGTCCATGGAATTTGTTTTTATGTTGTTTTTTGTGTTTTAAATTCTGGTTTCTGAATGTAAACTAATTATGATGGCGATGAAAAACCGAAATTTGAAAAACGTTAATTAATTAACAATAATGAATAATATTCTCGGTGTGTTTCGGTTTGGTCGGTTTCTTTCTATTTCGACCGATTCATGCATAAATCGGTGGCGATTGCCGCAAATCACAATGATGATGAATTCCGTAAATAGAAAAGTGACATTATTATTTATTAGCATCATTTCATCATCATCGTTGATATGATTCATACAATTTGGTCACACACACACACAGAATCACAGAATTATAAACTGTAGAATCTAAATATAGAAATAAAATGAAATAAATCATATCTCCAAACGAAACAAAAACGAAAATTCCCGAAACTATTCCCAAATATTAATTTCCATTCAACCATTTATAACCGACAATGAGAGAGAAAGTAGAAAAATTGAATTCTCACCTAAACTCTTGCATAATATGCAACGGTATATCATAGAATGTGGATGTCGATGGGATGTGGATAGGCAAAAAAAATGATTGAAAACAAAACAAAAAAAATATTCTGTTTGTTTTGGCCCATTGTTGTTGATGATGATTCTATCATGATGATTGTGATTAAATAGAATTTATTACATTTTTCTTTCTGCTACTAATATTATTAAATTAAGTAAATATCATCATCATCATTTTACTCATATGTTTCATATTATTATTTCGCTTTCGTTTACACACTGAATGAAATGAATGAATAAATGGAATGATTGAATGAACCGGAATTATATTCGAGCCGGAATTATGTGTGTGTGTGAGGATAGATCGAAAATGATGATGATAATAATTTCAAACAGAATCCACCCACGCCATAATAATGATTATTGAAAAAAAATCGCTGATTTTTTTTATTGTGGAAAAAAATGAAAATATTTACACAATTTTTTAATCAAACAAAATTAAAAGAAATATCTTTGAATTTTCGGTGATTTTTTTGATGATTTGGTGTTTGCGAAATGTTTTCATACTTGAAAAAATTTGATTATAATTTTTTTTCGGGAATTTTCTTTGTTGTTGTTGTAAATTTAATGATTATGTTGTTTGACAATAACAACAACAACTACAACAAGGAAAATTCCTAATAAAATTAGAAAAAAATATTTTTCTAGAATTTTAAAATGAATCAAGAGAAAAACCAAACCGAATATTATTCATTACACGTTTTATCTTGATTTTTTTTTGTGGTGGGGGAGGGTTAATCGTATTCGACGAGAATTTATTTAATTATTTCAGTTTTTTTCAATGCAAAAATTTCCCAGAATAAATAGCCGAAGGGTTAAATCACCAAATAAATAGCGTTTGTTATGATTATTACAACAACAACAACAAACCAAAAATGATAAACATGTTCACTTTAAAATTGAAATCTCAAGGTAGAAATGGTCAAACAACAATGGTCATTTTTTGAATAATAAAAAAAAACATCATAATTATCAATGAGGGAATTGAATTGAGGAAACAAATTCGTTAACTTGCATTTATATTTGTATACGGAAAAAAATTTAATTAAAATTTTAAATTTAAATTTTCATTCATTGAATTTGGCTTGAAAAAATTTCGGAAAATTTTCCCGGAATTTTTCTCGTTTGTACAACATGATGATGATGATGGCTAATTTCCAACAAGATTTTGGAACGTTTTGCTTTTGTGTTCCATATACAAATTATAGGGAAATTTTCTCTAGCATCTTGTTTTTCCTTGTAAAATTTCTGTGATGGTATACCATTATTATTATAATAACAACATTATTCGTACAGAATCGAAAAACGAACGAAAAAAAAAATTGCCAAATTTATCGATTATTAATAATCGTCGTACGACAAGAGAAAAAAAACAAGAATCAAATTGATCTTATTCGGAATCTAAACAAGCAAAGAAAGAAAAAACCCGAAACAACATTTGTGTGAACCAAGTGAAGAATCAAAAAAAAAATCAATTCAGGGAGAGAGAGAGAGAAAAGATGCTTAGAAGTTTTTCAGGAAAAACATACACACACAAACACCAATATGAATAATAAAAAACATCTTTTCTGACCTTATTTCATTATTCATTGCCTTATTAACAAAGAGAAAATATCATCATCATCGAAGGATGTTTACGCGGTCTTTGTTCATGTTTGTAAATATTGTAAATATAAATGCTACACAATACACAATACAAACACACACAGGAATTATGTAATCGATTAATTTGAAGTTTGTTAAGAAACAACAACATATTGTATTACGCGAAAAACAAAAACATTTTTTGTTGATTACCGAATTTGTGTTGTGTTTAACAACAAACAACAATATGGTGACATATCGACAAGAAAAAAAAATCAAACTTGAAAATCAGATGAAGAACGAAAAAGAAACGCAAGAAACGAAAATTTTCTGAATCCAGAATCTTTTTTCTGTGTGGTTATTGGAATAATATTCATTATGGGTTTTTTTTTTGGGAAGAAAAGAAAAAATATTAATTTTACGAAAATCCCAACCACAAACAATCGATTCATGGATGCTTAGAGATGTGAAAAACATCAGTCGAAAAAGTATAGGATATTGATTTTTTTCGCACCCAATTTTTCTCTGCTCGCACGTGTGTGTGCAGTGGTTTGTTTTGACAGAATTGAAATTAATTATATAATTAGATTCTGGGGGGAGGAAATTTTGGTAGAAATAGAATACATTTTCCCCCCTTCCTCCATCCATCGTCCCACTAATATTCTTTGAAATAATAATGATGATGCGGATGATGATGAACATTTCGTTTCTTTCACTAATGATGATGATCTGGATCGGGATCCACAAATTCAATTCAATTCAATTGTCACTATAGAATTTCTTTTCAGAATTCTGCTGGAATCGATTTTTGTCTTTGTTGTTGTTGTTGTGGATTCTTCTGTTGGTTGGTTTATTCAATTCATTGTTTGTGAAAAAAATACCCAAAAAGAAAAGAATTGTGGAATTTCTTTTTCACGATGAAACGTTTTTGATATTTTCTTTCTCTTTTTCATTTGCAGACAAAATAAAAACGAAAAACCAAGAAACGAAACAAAAAAAAGAAAAAGAAATTTCCCAGGAATTGAAATCGAGAATAGCAATGGTGAAAAAATCAAGAAGATCAGGATCAGATGTTTGCTCATTCATTATCGAATTTGATCATTATAGAAAAAGTAAAAAACATTGTGGAAAAACACAATGAAATGAATATTGATTGAAATTCAATACACACACACACAAAACGAAATACTACCTTGAACTCAGAAGAAAACATCCAAAAAAGAAGTGAAAGAAGAAAAAAGTGTTGAAAGTGGTAAAATTACAAACCACAATCATCATCATCATCTTTTTGATTGCATCATCGATATTTGTCCATTGTTGTTGGTTATATAAGATTCATTCAATTTTTTTTCTGGAAAAATTTATTCAAGCATAAATTTTTTGAAATGGTGTTTTTCTTTCTGTTTGCACCAAAGAATTGCAAAGAAAAGAATCGAATTCTTTTGATTCAATTTATGAATGTTTGACACGTGCATCAATGGTTTGTGTTTGTTTACATTACAGTGTGTGTTTTTGTGCTTGGTGGAATCGTCGATGATTTCAAATCAAACAAAAACAGAATCATATTGTTCAGGAAAACACTGAATTGAATTCATTCATTTCTTTGGGGGAGGAGAGGAAAAAGTGACTGAATAAAGAATATTCTGTACAGAGGTAAAAATATCAATTTTTTTGCATTCAATTGTTATTTGTTATTGATGAAAAAACATAGGGATGTGAATTCAGAATCCAGAATCGCGTAAAAAAATGGGCGGAGAAAAGGGGAGAGAAATGAACAACAACAACAACAAAGATTCTTTTTCCATTTTCAATGAATTTATTCTGTGTAAGTAAGTAAGTAAAAGTGCAAAAACAAAAGAAAAAGAATAAAGAGAATATCGGCCATAAGTCCATTCATTCAAGAAGAAACAATAAAAAAATATGACAAATGACAAAATCAGAATGATGGAAAAAAGAATCAGTGAGAAAAAACTGGAAAAAACCAGAAAAAAACTTGAGACATTTGAAATGATAAATATCATCTTTGCAAACAACGAAATATAAGAAAAGCCGGTGAAAACAATAACCGAATGTATCGATTTCTTTTCAATTGGCAATTCTGTTTCTTTCGCTTTTTCTTCTTCTTCTTTCAATGATGGGCGTTTGGTTAGTTGTTTGAACGGTCGAGAAAACTATCAAAATGATATTGAATTGGATAATAATAGATTTTCAATTAGAAGAAAAAAAACCATCATCCATAAATCATTTATTTTGTTGTTTGTTGTTTTTATTGAGAGAGAGAGAGAGAAAAGAAAATATATAAAAGTATCGTTTCGTAATCAATGTAATATCCTATTTGCAAAAAAATATTGATATGGGAATGAAAATTTTCATTTCATTTTTTATCCATTAATTCATTTAGAAATGGTTGAATGTGAGATTATTTAGTGTGTTTGTGTATGGAGAATTTGGATGAAAGTGAATAACCGGGTAAGGAAAACCAAAAAAAAAAAATAAATTATTGAAAATCATAATTTTTGTTTGCTTGGTTTTTTTGTTTTGAAAAAAAAGGAATACTTTTCTTTGCCATCACCAAAACCAAATGATAAATAATTAAATATTGATATTTTAGCTTTTAGCATCATCAATTAATCAATTCAATTCCATTCAATTACGAAATAAATCAGTTTCTTTCAGGCAATGTTAATGAATCAAACAAAGAAAAGAATCAACAAAGATGCCGGACAATAAGCGAAAAATATTTATAAAGAAAAAGTGAAACGAACGATCATCATAAGAATCATTATCATTTTCCTTCAAGGCGATTGATTCATATGATTTGCTGCTAGTATTCTACACTCTGGTATCATCATTATCATTTTTTTTTTGGGGGATTTTTGTTTTCCATTAAAAACCAAAGAAACAAAAACCATAATAATCATTATTTAATCGTTTATTTTGTCGTTTCAGTTTTAGTTTTTTGATTTATGAATTTTAAATGCGAAAAAAGAATGAATATTTTTTTTGTTTCATTCTTTGCCACGAAAAACTTTGATTCCCAAACAAAATTCCCAATCAATCAATCAAAATAAAATTCAAAATCAACATTTGAAAATCAAATTGTCATTGGAAAACAGAAAAAAAGTTTTCCCAGAAAGATTTTGAAGTATCACTCTCTCTGCGAAGATTCTATCACTATTTTCACTCAAGATTCGGTTTAATTTCATTCAAGTCCAAATAGTCAATCGGTGTGTGTGTATGTGTTTGAGTGTGTTCAATCGAACGAAAGAATTTGATTCCAATTCTGAAGAGAGAGAGAGAGAGAGAGAGAGAGAGAATCTTAAAATTGTCAATAAGTCAATAATATTAAGTAAGTAAGTAAGTAAGAATCATCATCATCATTGTTATGTAACGTCCAAAAACAGCAAACAAAAATGGATTGTTGTTGTTGAAAAAAAAGTTTTCATTCATTCATTTCCATCTTTACGGTTTGTTGTTGTTGTTGTCATTAAAGTTAAAGAGATTCTAATCTGATACGGGATCAACAAGAAAAAAAATTCTCTGATGATGTTCAAGGATGATCAATGAATGCTACTGCATTACTGCAATAAAGTATTTGCTGGTTGAAACAAAAAAAAAATGTCATTTATTTTTTTCACAAACAAACAAAACAAAATGAAGAAAATCCATCTTGATTTGAAAAAAAAGAAAAATATCCAAAAATAAACATCGATCATCCATCGATCTATTAGTTTATTTATTTATCCACCATCGATTCAATCATCATCCACTTACTTAGTGAAAAATACAATGTAATAACTGTAACAACAAAAAAAAAAACGGAAACTGGACAATAATGGAAAGTTTTTTTTTGTTCGTTTGTTTATTTCGATTTTATGATTCGTTCGGTTTTATTATTTTGGATGGTCTTTCGGTTATAATAATAATGGTTATGTGAAGCAAAGGAAAAGAATTGTAGAAAAGAAAAAACAAAGTAATAATTCTTCTTTGGATCACTATTTTTTTGGATCACTAATATATTTTCCATTTGATTTGAAGATAATAAAAAGAAATTGGAAAAAGATGAAATGAAAAATCGAAAGTGTGTTAATCATAGTTTTTTCTCTGAAAACTTTTCAAAAACGTTAAGAATTTATCATCATCGTGTTTATCACGATTGAATCAAAAACAGGCCAGAACGAGAAAAATGACATTATTTTGATTCCATTACATCATTATTATTATTATTATTATTGAAGAATTTCATTGATAATTGCATTTTTGCTTTGAATTGAATCAATTTTGTTGTTTCTGTTGTTGTTGTTGTTGTTTGTTGTCGAAAATACGTGCAAATAAAACTAATCTATAGATTATGCAACATGGTGGGGGTGGTGGTGATGAAACAAAAGGATTAAACAAAAAACTTTCGAATTTTCTTCAGATTCATCTCAGTTCATGAGAACTATTTTGACAACAACAACGTTGTTATGCGATGGATAAAAACTTGTTCTATTTTCACCCATTCACGCACACCAAGAGAATAAAAGAGTAATGAAAAAAAAACTGAACAAGAATTTGGCGCAATAAAAAAAGAAAAGAAAAATTCTTTGAAAGTAAGTTTTTTCTGTTTTGTTTTTTTTATTTAATTTCATAATACACCATCATCATAAAACTTAATCAAAATGAATTAATCAACAAAATGAAAACAATAATAAACGAACGACATTCAATGAAATAAAACAGAAAATTCCTATGACCATTTTCCGGGAACATTTTTTTCTACATTTCCGGAAGATAAAAAAAACAATTGGATACAATGTTATCGACTATTTCGACACAAACATTAGTAGAATGAAAAATGACCATTAAAAAAACAGAAGAATGATTATATTAAGGTAGATTTTTACCTGAAAACCAAACAAAATCATATAATATTTGATGGAAATTTTCCGGAAAAAAAGAAATAATGATATTTTTTATATACAAAATAACAGGAATTTTTTTACACCTCTAATGGATTTTTTTTCTATTCATCTAATCTATTTTACAAATGATATTTAAATAGTGGGGGGAGGAAATTTTCCGGGAAACCAAATGATAATGGGAATATTTTTTTCCCGAAAATAATTCTTTGAAAATAACAACAAATGAATCAGGATAAATACCTTTGGTTTCTGAAAAATTTCTCATTGTTGTTGTTGTTTGATTATTAGGTAATATCACATTTGAATTCAGTTTTGATGATAATGATGATTGTTGTTGTTGTTGTTGTTGATTCATCGTCGATAATGATGATCGATATAATTTAATAGTTCTTTTTTTATCAATCGATTGATGATAATGATGATTATGATGATGATCGATAATTGAATTTATCCTATTCAATTTATTATCATCTTGATGATTTTGCGATGAAAAATTTAATATTTTTTGTAGATTTAAATCATTTATTTGGCTTTCATTGCTGCTGTTAATGTTTTCGGTAAGATTTGTTGTTCCATTTTTGGTCACTATATTTGTGGTTTTTGGGAAATTTTCCGGGAAAAAAATACGAGAAAAATAATTAATCATTTTCCGAAAAAAAATCAAGATAACTCTTTTATTATTATTGAAATTTAACTTCGAATCAAACAATGAATATTCTATAATTTTATTCAGTTTTGTACAGAATAGAGAAAGCAAAACAAAAACAAAATAAACATCATCATTATGAATGGATCAACAAACAAAAAGAAAAATATCAATCGATTTATCATCATCGTTTTTGTTGCTGTTTTTGTTTTATAAAAAAACTGATTTCTAAAAAATGATAAACAACAACAACAAAATGAAATGAAATGAAATAACCAAAAAATGATCATCGGATTAGAATGATCATTTTGTGTCTAATAATGATAAAAAGAGAGATAAACTAGGGTTTATTATTTTTCAATGAAACAACAACAACAAAAACATCAAGTAAACAAAAAGAGATAAAAAATGGATTTAGGTTTTTTTTTGTATATGAAAATATTTTCCTCCTATTCTGCATCATTTTGTTGTTGTTGTTGTTGTTGATGATATATGAACAACAACAACAACAAACGAACAACAACAACAAACAAACAGGGGAGATAAAATTATTATAATGATAAATTATTCACAACATAATGATATATTCATATAACGATATTACCATCATTATATTATGATTTTATTTATCATCATCATCATCATTAGAATATTCTGTGGAATTTTCAAAATGAAATTCGGTTATTTTGTTTCATTTTCTCTCGTTCGTTATGTTTATCCTTTTTTTTGTTGTTGTTGTTTATCCTGTTTTTCTCAATGTTTCAATGAAATTCTATGCGTTATTGATCAAAATTTGGGTTGAATAATATCAAACTAACAAACAAACAAAAGAATATTCTTTGAAACATGAATCGATTCTATGAACGTGAAACATTAACATAGTTTGGATATGACATTTTAGAGAATTTTTTGTTTTCAGATTTCCAGTGCTAATTTAGTTCAGTTAGTTAAAATTTTATTTAAGAAATTTTTTTTTTGTTAAATAACGAAGATGATTATATAATTTAATTTCTTCTTCTAAACATAATTCTTCTGTTGAAATTTTTTCAAATTAAGATTTTCATTTTCACTTTGATCCTATAGGATTATTGAAGAAGAAGAAGAAGCAAGAAAATCCAGACGAAAATGATAATAATAAAAATGTTTAGTTAATTTTCAGTCTTTTTTTCCATTACTTTTTTGTTTTTGTTTTTGTTTTTTTTACTATGATGATGATCATCATTAATTGAAATTTATTTCGATTTTTTCATTACTATTTTCACCCATCTGGGATGTGAACCGTTAATTTTTTTTGGCCTTTTTTCTGACATTATTATATTGGAAAATTTTTGGGAAGAATTTTTTTCGGAAACATTTTGAATAGAAAAATTCCCTTTGAATACAGAGAATCATCGGATGATGATTTGATTTGAAAGAATATTTTTTCGAAAACATCGATGAATAGCCATGAATATGATGTGTGCTTAATCAATGTGATTAGTCAAACGGAAAATCAAAATCTTAAAGAAATTTGCCAGAAATAAAATCATCATCATCAGATAATCAAAGTCAGAATCTGGAAAAAATCACGATCGATCAATAATCACTCGAAACAACAAAAGGGGTTGAAAACAACAACAACAAAAACCGGTTTTCATCATTACAATTCCATAATCTAATTTAATAAATGAACTTTTGGGTTTTTCAAAAAAATTTATTTTTCATCAATGAAGATCGATATAGACTTTTTGTTGTTGTTGTGATATTTTGGCAATTAATTAGTTGATTAGTCAAATAACAGTGAATCGAAATGAATCGAGAAAGAAAGTTGGCAAGAATATTCTTAAATTCTTTATCATTATTTTCCAAAAAAAACAACAACAAATTTTTTTTCTCTAGAAATGTTTTTGTTGTTGTTGTTGTTTTGTACAACTATTTTTATCGACAAACAACAAACACAGAACATCGAAATTGGTTTTGTTGATTCCAGAAACAAAAACAAAACAAAACAAAAACGGCAAAGACAAAATAAGAATTGTTTTTACAACAAAAAGAAGAAAAAAAGTACTTAAAAACACACTGATAAACCACCCACATTATGCATGACATAAATCTGGTTGTATTGTTTTTTTTAACGAATAACAACAACAACAACAACAAAATATTCTGTGGTAAAATTCTTGATTCTAGAATTTAATTCCTGAAAATAAAAAAAATTCTTTTTGTAAAGCATATTCAGCGATATTGAAAAGAAAAAAAAAACAAGACGACCGGAAAACAAATGCAAAAATCAAGAAGCAAATCAAGTTTAGACAAATAATGACTGTTGACAAGTATGGAATGAATAAATGGAATTTCCATATGGTCAATTTCATCAAATGACTGATGATAATGATGACAAACAACAAACCATGACCAACCGAACAAGAAGAAGATGAATTTGGTCAATATGACATTATTATGCAAAAAGAAGAGAGAGAGAGAAAGTCATAATCAAAAAAATGTAATGAATTGAAACAAACAAAGTGGATATAGTAGGAATTTTATTTAAAATTTTCAAAAAATTCAAATTGTTGTTGTTTTTCCGGGAAGATTTCTCATCAGTACCAGAAAACACCACAGAATAAATTCTTTTATTCGGCATCATCATCAACAGAATCTTATGGCTGACTGCTTTAGTTTGGTTTGGTTTTTTTCGGATTCTTTACCAAGAGAATAATAATGAAATAGTAAAATTTGTCAATTTTATTGATTAATCAATAAATGTAATTAAAATCACAATCATAGAAGCAAGCAAGCAAGCAAACAAACGAAAAAAAAAATAGAGAAGAAATGATGATAATGATGATGATGACTACTACTGCCACCACAATCGACCATCATCATCATCATCATCATTTCAATTGATCGAGATTTTCATTTCTGGTTTTCGATTCAAACTGATGATGATGATCATTATGGAAAGTTATTTTTGGTTTTTTTCATGTTTTATTTTGGTTTTCCAAATGACTTGATTTGGTTTTTTTATTTGTGTAACTACAATTGAATTTTTGTCATCATTTTTATTGGCCAAGATTGTTTGAAATATAAATAGAATAAATAAATCTATCAGTATTTATTGTTGGAAATTTTGTTAATACTAATAATGGAAAAAAAATTTTCATTATCAAAATTTGTCTTTTAGTCATCAACCTAACCTCACTCAACTATGAATCACAGCCATAGTCATAGCCATTAACCTAACCTCACTCAACTATGAATCACAGCCATAGTCATAGTCATAGTCACTAACCTAACCTCACTCAACTATGAATCACAGCC